ACTATATATATATATATATATATATATATATATATATATATATATATATATATATATATATATATATATATATATATATATATATATATATTCATTCTGTAGTTTACTGCTACCAGCAAGCAGAAATATTTCTTCTCTCTCGATGATGGCCATTTTGGCCGAAAGTAGTCGAGGAATCTAAATGAAATAATAATAAAAAAAACGAAAGAATATTAATCTACAACCCAGTGTGTCTGAAGATTTTAATTTTTAATATTTTTATTGTTCAAAATATACATACATACATACATACATATATATATATATATATATATATATATATATATATATATATATATATATATATATATATGCAGGGATTTGGGGAACTTCACCTTTGTACTAGCGTCATTACAAAAATAAATTTATTTCGTAAGAACGAAATCTGCATTAGTAAGAAAAACAGAAATTCCCATTAAGGGGATGAACTCATAATTTTAACGTTAACGTTGTATAGATTTGTTGCTGATAACTGTCTTGTCCCCAAATGAGTTTGTTCGGAAACATAAAAGTTTACATTCATTTCCAAAGGATTTATTTAAAAAATAAATACTTCACTTTCAGTTTGAAAAGCGAAAGTGAATTAAACTACTGTAATTATTTCTAAATGAGCAGAGGAAAATGTTCTTCTTGAAGTGTCGTGCGCTCAAATGTGATTTGCCATAGTAAACGATCGTGACAAAGAATTCTAAATAGTTAATGAGATTTAAATTTTGAATAAGCAATATTTTAGGCGCACAAGTTAAAGCAAGAGTTTTCAACATTATATTTTTCCTTCTGTTTGTCTCAAGTTTCTTGATAAGATCCAGAGACGGATATGCAATGTAATTGGCCCTGATCTGGCATCTCGTCTGCAGTCGCTCTCTCACAGACGTGACGTTGCCCGCCTCTATCTTTTTTACAAATACTTTCACGGTAACTGCTCCGATGAGCTGCTTTCGCTGGTTCCCAGACTTCATGAATTTAAGCGCTCAACTAGGCTGGCATCTCGCTCACACCCTTTCACTGTTGAAACTGTTAAATGTAGCTGTCTCTTCTACTCCAATAGCTTCATGTCTCGCACCTCTCGCCTGTGGAACTCCCTCCCCTTTTCCTGTTTCCCTGATAGCTATAATCTCCAACTATTCAAATGTAATGTCAATCGACGTCTCCAGATGCCTTGATCTATCCCCTATCCTATTCTTCATTCTTTCCACTATCACTCCTATTTGCTCTCGCTCCAACTCTCTGTAACCCCTTGCGTGCTAGTGGCTTCCCGCCTTGCTTGAGGTGAAACGCTTAAAAAAATAATCATACAAATATCTATGAAATTTATCCAGTCTTTTACTGTCAATTTAAGATGTCGGCGATCATAGCTCGCAACAGTTTCTTTCACTTTATTATCTACAAACTGCCATGAATTCCTGGAAACAAAAAGTTTACCGATCACCGCTCCCATAACTTTATGGTGAACTCGTTCTCCGAGCTACTGATTTTTTTTCTAGACCTTATAAATATCGCTATACAGTACAGGTGGATGTGCAGGTGGCGTAAAGATCAGTGGCAACGAAAGCGAGTCGAGTTCAAATTGTCTATTACGTTCATTTTTGACATTAATAATCTTGGCAGAGGCTCGAGGCATTAGGCGAAATAACTGAAATGTTGCTGTCTTTGAACATTTTTATTGTTCAAGAAGCCAGAGGTCCCATTGTCGGCAGCCAAGTGTTTTGTTTGTAAGATCTTTTGGTCACATATATTTATTCATATTTTAAACAAGTTTAGAAAGAATTTTAACTGAATAATGAACACCATTTTGACGCCCTTCAAATAAGTACATGATAAACATTATCCAGGTTCCATTCATCATCTCAACTCAGGAAAAATTCGGATTGAAGTTGGGGACTTAGTTATGAACGTTTTAATGTTTTTTATGACGTTACCCACTGGTTTATCCCCAACAATGGCCCGTCAGCCGATTAACAGCCACGCCCTTATGCAAATTAATAAAACAAAACGAATAATTCTGTTATATTTTTTCGTATCTTTCCAATGAAACATGACCCAGTGCACATGTTAGTACTTCGTATGTCCATTCCCGACTGGATTTAAATCAGGAAAGTTCCCGGGCCAGTTCTTAGTACTTTGATTTGCTAATTGGTAAGGCTTGACAGTGTGTTCGTGCAGCGTTAGAATTTTCGTACGCTTCCTTGGAGTAACGTCCTTCGCAGACAATGGCCGTAGGACAACTAATCGACAGTCGAGACAATAGTGTCTGGCTGTGATGAAAATCTGATGCAATCGCGGATGACGCAATATTTTTCAAGGACAAGCAAATTTCATCATACAACACAAAAATTGATTAATTTTACTGCACATCACTGCAAATGACCTAATTTGAGGAAAAATAGAAATCGATTACATCCTTTCAATCCAGTGGGTCTAAAAGTGACCGTATGGTGAAAGAAAGGAAGGAAAACCGGTTGTTTCAATTAATTTGCACAAGGGTGTACTTTCATTAATTATACTCAATATTTTAAAGAATATGTCAATTCTTCCTTTAATGTTCTGTGAATTTCAGTTCCAAAATAAAACTTTACATTACGCCCCACAGTAAAAAAAAAAAAAAAGCAGTGTATTCTGGGAACTCTAGCCTTGGCTGGCAGCTAGTCTGGAAGAATGACTACTCTGATCTCGAAATCGTGGATATGCTGCTTCATTATCTTTCCGAAGAAGTCATGACAATTCACATATAATAAAGAAAGGGAGCTTGTGGAGAGCCATGATTGTCTACGTCTTGAAGAGATATTGCATAAAAATGCACTGGGTAAACTTCACCGACATTTGTAAGATTTCTTTAACATTATGAAAAATATAATGTTGAAACCTTTTGCATCAGTTGCGAGCCTAAAAAAATTTCTTATTCAAACAATTATTTAAATCTCATTAACTCGACAGAATTCTTTGTCACGAACGCTGATCATGGCAAATCGCATTTGAGCACACGACATTTCAAGAATAACGTTTTGGTCCGCTTATTTAGAAATAATTTCAGTAGTTTAATTCACTTTCGCATTTCAAACTGAAATTGAATTTTTAAAAATTGAATCCTTTTGAAATAAATATTAACTTTAATGTCAATGACTTTCAGAAGACTCAAGAAGAATACAACATTGTTTAATGATCAAATCTCTTCTTTGTACACATATGCAAAGTTTCTCTAACATTGGAAAGAGTTATTAACATATACAACATTGGCGTAGGCACCTCGAGGCGGTGTAATGGTTAACAAGCTTGTCTTGTTAGAAAAAATTACGACTGAGTAGTGAGTTCGATCCTCACTGGGTGCCCTATAATTTCGGCCTTGTGCCACATCTAAGCTACGCTTGGAAAATCTCTATGCAACATTAGCGTTCAAATATAATGATTTACTAAGCGTAGCTTAGATGTGGTTCAAGATGGAAAGTATGGGGCACCCAGTGAGGATCGAACTCACGATTCAGTCGTAACCTGTCCCGCGAGTCAAGTTTGCTAACCATTACAACACGTCTAACTTTGCCGTTGTAAATATTGTTTAGATGCTCAAATAAGTTTTATTTTATTTATTGTTATTAGCCCAGCGTTTCAGCCGATTACATCTTCAGCTTTTTTCACGTGTCATCGTTGGGAAAAAAACGCAACTTCCGGTTCTAAAAAAGGCAAACAGGAAATAGTAATTGTCCGTTAATATGAAAATAAACTGTCATCTGTATCTGCCTATATTTCTGAGATGAGGTATTATGTACACTATTTACATTATTCGAACTATTGTCTCTTCTTTATTGCCATATTTATCACAACGTTTCGGCCGTTGTACACTCCGGCCTTGTTCAGGTAGTTGGAATGTCGAACTGAACCCTTTATTTCTGTTGTAGTTCCACGTGCCATATTTAATGGTTGTCAGTTATCTCCTGTTAATTTCCCTCTGAAAGTTATCCACTGCCTTAACCAGGTATTGAACTCACAACTCTTTGGGTCCTGTCATTGGATCTAAGCTTTATCCACTGTGCCATGTGTCCTTAAGGAAAACTGCCATCTGTTTCTTTTCTTGTTTTTGTCCACCGGATTTTCCCTGTCAAATGCTGAAGACGTGATTAGGTTAAAAACAATTGAAAATGTCGCTTAGATATGTTTTAATACAATAAAAATTGAAATTCTGTCTGAAATTTTAGGATATGTTATTATTTGAATTATTTGTTTGAAGGCTATTTTCCTCATCTCTGTTGTTGTTATAACAATGCTTTGGCTGTTGTGTTCTTCGGCCTTCAACAAGTGCTTAATGATCCTTACTTGCATTTCGAATTGAACCTTCTATTTAATCTATGTATTAACTTGATTTTCTGTTAATTTTCTTCTTATGAGCGTATTGAAGTTTAACTTTGATTCCAAACAAAGTTAAACTTTATCTTAAGAAGCAAAATCAATTCTCAATACATCGTCTGGCTCACAGTGAGCAGAACATCATTAAGCTATCTATTAACATGACCTTGTGCCAGACTTGTTTAGAAAATAATGATTGAACGTGTTGCCTTAATTAATTTGATCAATGTGACCCTGTGTGTGTTCATCTGAAAGGAAGTTTCTCTCATTTTGGCGCTACTTCCACTGGTGAATTGAGACACAGCTTCACCACACTATGCTGCTATGGTTTCTGTAGGCTTCTATGAGGTGGATTTGCCGAGCCCAGGCTGCTCTGTTATTTAACCCATAACTCGTGAGAGCAGAGATGGATTCATAAGATTCCAAAGCGTATTTTTGCGAAAGTGAATGCAACGAAAACGGCGGCGGTTTGAACTCGCCACGTGTGTGGATTGCAATTTCAGTGTTGATGGCCGCTACGTCAAGGAAGTTTTTCATTAAATGCAGAAAGACTCGCTGATATCATTCAGTATCTCTAAATCTAAACTCAAACTAAATATTTTGTCGCCGCCGAGCAGACCATAAACATGGACAAATTCTTAAAAGTGACCATAACCTCCAAAGAGGCTCCCTCTCTCGGACGACTTCTTGGGCTAGTGATCGCCCCCGACCTGAAATCCTATACGCGTAAATTCTTGTGCAAATTAATAAAGCGAATAACTCCGTTATTATTTACTTTTTTCGTATTTTTCCAATGAAACATGACCCAGTGGACATGTTAGTACTTCGTATGTCCATTACACGTAATCGTTCCTTGCAGATTGATCACAGATTCTCGATTTAATTTAAATCAGGTGAGTTTTCGGGCCAGTCTATAGTACTTTAATTTGCTCACTGTTAAGGCTTGCCAGTGTGTTCGTGCAGCGTTACAATTTTCGTACGCTTCCTTGGAGCAACGTTATCGCTGACAATGGCCGTAGGATGACTAATCAATAATCGAAACAATAGTCTCTGGGCGTGATGAAAATCTGATGCAATCACGGATGATGCAATATTTTTCAAGGCCAAAAAAATTTCATCATACACCGCAAAAATAGATTCATATTACTGCACACAACTGCAAATGACCTAATCTTAGGAAAAAATAGAAATCGATTACACCGTGTCACTCCACTGACCGATTGGTGAAAGAAAGGAAACTAAAGCGGCTGTTTCAATTAATTTGCACAAGGTTCTATCTATCTATCTATCTATCTATCTATCTATCTATCTATCTATCTATCTATCTATACACCCTTGTGCAAATTAATTGAAATTAAACGAATAATTCCCTTATTATATACTTCTTTTTTCGTATTTTTCCAATGAAATATGACCCAATGCACATGTTAGTACTTTGTATGTCCATTCCACGAAGTCCTTCCTTGCAGATTTACCACAGGTTCTCGATTGGATTTAAATCAGGAGAGTTTCCGGGTCAGTCTATATTACTTTGATTTGCTCACTGGTAAGGCTTGCTAGTGTGTTCGTGCAGCGTTACAATTTTCGTACCTTTCCAAATGAACTAATCTGAAAAAAAAATAGTAAGCTCATCTGATAGTGTTCAAAAACTGGAGCTCATCAGCTGCAGCTCATATTCCGGATATCATCTACTGTAGCTCATTTGGTGGTGCTTATCTGCTGGGGATGATCTGGTAGTGCTCATCTACTGGAGCTCTACTGGTGGTGCTCATCTGGAGCACATTAAAGTGGTGGTCATCTATGGGAGCTCATCAGCTGTACGTATTATGTGGTTCTCATCTGCTGAAGCTCATCACATTGGTGGTCATCTGCTGGAAATTATGAAAGTGGTGGTCATCTACGGGAGGTCATCTGCTGTACCTATCCGCTGGAGCTCCTGTTGGAGCTCATATGGTGGTGCACATCAGCTGCAGCTCATCAAAGTGGTTGCTCATCTCCTGGAGTTCATTAAAGTAGTGGCTATCTACGGGTGCTCATCTGCTGTGCCTATCGTGTGGTTCTCATCTGTTGGAGCTCCTTTGGTGGCGCCCATCTGCCGCAGCTCATCAAAGTGGTGGTCCATCTCCAGGAGCTCATCAGAGTGGTGGTCCATCTCCTGGAGCTCATTAGAGTGGTGGTCCTTTTACTGGAGCTCATCAGAGTGGTGGTCCTTTTACTGGAGCTCATCAAAGTAGTGGTCCTTCTCCTGGAGCTCATCGGAGTGGTGGTCCATCTCCTGGAGCTCATCAAAGTTGTGGTCCATCTCCAGGAGCTCATCAGAGTGGTGGTCCATCTCCTAGAGCTCATCAAAGTGGTGGTCCATCTCCTGGAGCTCATCAGAGTGGTGGTCCATCTCCTGGAGCTCATCCAAGTGGTGGTCCATCTCCTGGAGCTCATCCGAGTGGTGGTTCATCTCCTGGAGCTCATCCGAGTGGTGGTCCATCTCCTGGAGCTCATCAGAGTGGTGGTTCATCTCCTGGAGCTCATCCGAGTGGTGGTCCTTCTCCTGGAGCTCATCCGAGTGGTGGTCCTTCTCCTGGAGCTCATCAGAGTGGTGGTCCATCTCCTGGAGCTCATCGGAGTGGTGGTCCATCTCCTGGAGCTCATCCGAGTGGTGGTTCATCTCCTGGAGCTCATCAGAGTGGTGGTCCATCTCCTGGAGCTCATCCGAGTGGTGGTCCTTTTACTGGAGCTCATCAGAGTGGTGGTCCATCTCCTAGAGCTCATCAGAGTGGTGGTCCATCTCCTAGAGCTCATCAGAGTGGTGGTTATGTACGGGAGCTCATCTGCTGTTGGTATCTTCTGATTCTCATCTGCTCATTTTGTGATTCTCATCTGCTGAAGCTCATCTACTGAAGCTCATCTGTTGTACCTCATCTGGTAGTGTTCATCTGCTCCAGCTCATTTGATCATCGTATTTTGAGTTAAATATTACGCGCAACTGGGTTCTTTAATCTTGATTAACAGCAATCTAGAAGAAGGGTAACTCTGAACTGAAACCTCAGGGACACAAACGGCAGACGAAACCGGTGTCTTTTTCAAGTTGCACAGTTGCAGATATTAAGGAAAAAGAAGCCGTGGAGATCCATGACCGCCAAAATTTTGTATAGTCATGACTCTTATAGGGAAGGAGGAGATTTTTAGTTATATTTTCGTTTTATTATTTTCTATATTTGACAAATAATCTATTGTGTTGTGATTTATTTATTTCCCTTACTACTTTTTTTATGTTCGTGTCACTTGTGAAATAAATCAAGGTTTCTTTTTATATTTCAGACTAATCTTACCTGTAGATAGAGAAGTCAACTGGAAACCATTCAACTATCTTTCCCAAGAGGTGATGACAATTCACAGAAAAAGAAAAAAGGTAGTTTAGCGAATTTTGATCAGCTACATCCTGAAGAGACATCGCATGACAGTTATGCAGACGAGATGATTTCTTATTTCCTTTTTTTTATCCATTTTTTGGACACGTTAAGAAGAGAAGCAGGAAAGGAGAGATTTGATAAAGACTGGATAGTATGTTGGACGCACACCGAATCTAGTTGAGTACATTCAAGCAAGATAATTTGACACTATTTATATTATTCGGACTATTGTCCTCATCTTTGTCGCCATATTTATTACAACGTTTCGGCCCTTCATTATCTGTCTATATTTCTGAGATGAGGAATTATGTACATTATTTACATTATTCGGACTATTGTCCTCATCTTTGTCACCATATTTATTACAGTGGAGAACTTGGAGAGGTGAATTAACAGGAGATAACTGATAACTGGCATCCATTAGACATAGCAAGTGGAACTATAACAGTCTACCCCAGTAAGCGAAATAAAGGGTTCAGTTCAACATTTCAACCACCTGATGAAGGCCGGAGCGTACAACGGCTGAAACGTTGTAATGAATATGGCGACAAAAATGAGGACAATAGTCCGAATAAAGTAAATAGTGTACATAATAGCTCATCTATATGGACAGATACTGAAGATAATTTGAGTGTCTTTAAGTATTCGATATTTACCGGCCTGTGTAAAATTGGTCTCTCCAGCTGCGTAGATTTGTAAGAAGGATTCGGTGAAAAGCATTTAAATTGTCATAAAAATTTGATCAGTGGCGCAACGTCTGAATGATTGGAAGCAAACATGATTTTCAAACGTTTTGGTTTGGGGCACCCTCCATTGAATTGAAACCAGAAGACAACTTAGAATACAGACAAGCAATCTCTTCAAACGTGTGATGCTACCCGACTAATATTATCTACAACCATTATCTTTGGATACAATAATTTACATATTATATGGAAAAATGAGGCTGTATATTCTGGCCTGTTTTATATATGGGAGTATAAACAAGACTATACTAACGTATAACCCGGCATAAAACATCTTAACCAAGATTAAACCTAGACTATTACACCGGTTGTTAAACTACGCTTGAAAAAAATAAGAAAAGAAGCTATTTTGTCGATAAAATAAACAAACACGATTTTAAGCTTATTTTACCAGTTTCGGTAAAATAAACCCACGGGCTAATTTGCTGGTAAATATTTTTTTATTATTATGAAGGAAGGTAATTGTTAAGGGGTCCACCCCTTTTTCATACAAGTGGAATCACCTAGTGTGTACTTGTACTGCTGCCGGTGAATACCCGGAAGTCGAAAGTAATACAGTAAGAGTGTGAGGTAACCGCTTTGTAGGAGTCACAGTTGCGAGCACGTAGACTCAAAAGGAATTCATACTTCGATACTGAATTTCCCAGACTGTATATATATTATTATTGCTACTAACCGCATTTCTGGATCTACTAACCGTATTACCAATTGTATTATTACGTCAATACAGTTATTTGCTATATTTCATTCCTGCGTTTGTCATTCATTTGAGACCGGATTTCAACCCGGAATCCACAACAGTAATGTTAAACATAACAACACACGGATTTAAAACAGAAGTTTATTTATTTTCATCATAAATTGTTAAGACAATTTAAAATCTTTTCCATCATCAATTGTTAAAACAAAAGTTAAAATCATTTGTTCATCATCAATTATCAAAAGAAATAGAGAGGTTTCTGAATATATTAAGAACTTCAGGCATAACAGTCTAAAATTTGGCAATTCATTCAGGTGCACCCACTGAAGACAACAGTCACAGACCACAAAATCCAGGTTGTTCAAGTCCTGTCTACACATTTCACGCAACCACTGCACTGACAATTTCAAGGCTCCATAAAAATGTTGCACAGCTTTTCAACTATCTGATAACTTTATAGTTTTTCTTCTATTTCAGGAAATGAATTGAAAGGATCTCCAACACTGAATACCTATACTGAATGAATATTGCTTATATATATATATATATATATATATATATATATATATATATATATATATACAAGGTGTCCATAAAGTTCGTGTGCATCTATAACCTGTAAAAAATGTTATAAAGTTTAATGTACCTATAGCTAAAATAACTAATGTTATTTTAGGCATTACTGTAAATCAGTTGGCAAATGTCTTCCGTGAACTGCAAAATCGTATTACCCTTTGTATTGCTATAATGGCGGACATGTGAATACTTAAATAAAATTTCAATAAAACCTTAAAATATATAGCTTTACTTCTTTCTAATCCTTTTTACAAATTATGATATACACACACACACACACACACACACACACACACACATATATATATATATATATATATAATTTTTCTCGACTGAATTCATTCTTCACATCTACGAACCTACCATTCGTCCATTCATGGAATACTGTTGCCATATATGGTCTGGTGTTCCTGCTGTTCATCCCGAGGTTCTCGACAAAATCCAAAGACGGATATGGAATATGATCGGTCCTGGCTTGGGGTTTCAACTCCAGTCACATTTTCACCGACGTAATGAGGCTTCCCTCTGTCTTTTCTATAAATATTTTCATGCCATCTGCTATGACGAGCTATTTTCACTGTTGCCCAGACTGCATGAACTTAAGCGCTCTACTAGATTGGCAATTCGGTCCTACACTTTTACCGAAACCGTTAAATACACACACACACACACACACACACACACACACACACACACACACACACACACATATATATATATATATATATATATATTTCCAAGATTTAAGTTAATGATTTCAAAAGGAGCTTTCTGAAAAGAAAAAAAAAGGACTCCTTTTTTTTTACTTTTCTATTAAGTAATAATTTATTACTTAACCTCACGACATGTAAAATAATAGAGCGAATCAGCTATAATAACGCATGCGCAATTGCCTAAGATCTTGGAACTAGCACGGAGAACCCTGTGAAGGCAGTTGAAACATTCTTGATACATCATGAATAAATTAGGAAGATTTACTGAAGAGAGTGTTGGAATAATGAGAATAGTCACCACGACATCCCATGTGAGACCAAGAGGAGAAATCAAATCGAATTCCATCGTGTCTTTGAGACTCTGTGATTTCCGAAAATTCATTCCAACATCCAATCTGCACTTAGTCGACATTTGAAGCGAAAAGGAATTTCATGTCAACGAGTGCACAGACTGCTTTAAGCAACAGCAGCAGCAAAAAAACAAAAAAGAAAAAAAAGGACGATGAAGAAGAATAATCAATTATTACAAATAAGTCTATCATTTGGAGCGTTAAATCATACGGAAACATGACAAATAGAAGGTAAAAGACTTTCACGGATGTGTTTCTTTTATATTGATTTTGGAACGAAAGTGATAGATTAGTTACCATGAGTTTCCGATGAAATATTTGGCGCATGCGCAAACGTTCCATACGGGCAAAATGCCAACACTATGAATCATTTTTTTTTTTTTGTGGATGTCAACACATATCTCAATATTGAATGTCGGTGTTTTAAAAATAGTGATAGATGTAACATAACAGAGCTATTAAGTATATATTGATAGAAGTAAAGTCTCTACTTACCATCTCTGAATATTGCGTTGTCTATGTAACTCCGTTTTTAGTACCGGTGAGGAAATATATATATATATATATATATATATATATATATATATATATATATATATATATAATATTATTATATATTGGTATATACGGAATGAATTCCAATAACCAACAATTACTATTCTCAAAAAGAGTGCTCAATACAAAGTAGAGCAGATATAATTATTATTTATAAAAAAATTATAACATAAGTATGTTATAAGATCACTACAAATATAGCCATTTTGTTTCAACACCCTCGGTGTCTTATCAAGTGATGATGTTGAAGATAAAATAAATGGTTTTAAAAGTTAATATGTCTGGGTGCTTATGTATTATAATCTGATTGTGTTTTTGTTGTTTTGCGCGTGAGTTTAAGACTACATTCACACACTTTAGAATAAAAAATATATATACATGTATTGTCAAATGACCGGATATATTGTAGCGTCTTGTCGAACGTAATTTCAACCAAGAAATAAATTGAATAACATATGTATTTTTTCTTTTCTCAATAATTTTGAAGTTTTTAAACTTAATAGTGATTAAATTTGGATTTTAAAATTGCCAGTTTTTAATTTTAATATTAAATTTTATCATATAATTTTATAATTATTGGTTAGTATAAATTATTTTTAATATTACACGTATTTTAAAGATCTGAATAGCTATTATAACATGATTTCGTTGTCAAGCTTTTGAATCTTTCTATACTTGGTTTTTGATTGGTTATTCTAGCTTTTGTAACAATGCTCCCCCTAGTGTAGGATCGTTAATTAATCTGAAACTTTTAAAACCATTTATTTTATCTTCAACACCATCACTTGATAAGACACAGAGTGTGTTGAAACAAAATGGCTATTTTTGTAGTGATTTTATAACATACTTATACTAATTTTTTCATAAATAATAATTATATATATATATATATATATATATATATATATATATATATATATATATATATATATATATTGTCTTAAGGTATGCTATATTTATGGGATAAAGTGCTCAATATCAGAGATAGAGCGTGTAAATATAAAAGTGAACATTGAAGTCAACACTTAGAGGCGACAGGTTGTTTCATGCTAGATACAATCGTCAGGTCACGAGTGCTGTTATTTTTTCTCAGCTATATATATATATATATATATATATATATATAATTATTTATTTAAAAAAATTATGAGATAAATATGTTATAAAATCACTACAAAAATAGCCATTTTGTTTCAACACCTCCGGTGTCTTATCAAGTGATGATGTTGATATATATATATATATGATGGTTGCCACTTCTTTTCGTAAGACGACCATCTCTTCTTACTTTTAAATTGAAGATTCGTTTGATCAGTAAGTATAAAATATTTTAAAACAGTAAAAAAAAACAAATAAAAAGGTTGAAATATTGTTAAAAAATTGCTCGCCTTTGCAGACAATTTATAAATGTCTATCGTTTA